GTTACTCTGTTATTATAAATACCATGTTCATAGTAACTACAGTTGTAACAATTACAATTCCAATTCTCCAAATTATCTCTGTTCTGTATTTGCCTTTATCTTTGCTACAGCTGCACCTCTTTATTATTCATATAATCTTGAAAGCTTTTGTGGTTGCATTTACTTAATTAGTATCATAATGGATAATACTTAAATGAACAAAGGTAAGAGAAAAAATTAAGGAGATATTATGCCTTATAAAAAACTAATAATAATAATATGCAAAAAAATTCACACTAACTTAAAAAAGATTGATTTCTTGCCCTAAGGGATGGATTAGGCGAGTTCAAGTTTGGGTTTGGGTTCGGGCCAAGAGCTTATGAAGTGTTTACATCCTTTGCATGCGCTATCCGGGACATAGAAGTGGTTGTGGAGAGGGTGCTCCATAGAGGGAGAAAATGACAACTAATTGTGGGCTCCTAAAATTCACAATTGGCTTTCCTAAGAGAATTAAGATCGTATGACCATGTCGCCCCAAGTTCTCATGGACCTCGGTCTACTTTGTCAAAAAAGATAGTTCACCTAAGCTAACCAAAAAATATTTATTGGTAGCTATGGGTTGTATCGTCTAAGGAGACTTTATAGACCTTAGGTGAATATTTTTCTAAGGAGATAGTTTTAAGTCAATTATAGTTAATAGAAAGCTTTGTTCCCTATCAAGTGCATTCTATGATTAACAACTCAAAGGTTTTTAAGCCATTAGAGTGCTTATCGGCTCTGGCCATAACCGTAATTTAATGATGCAATTTTATGACAATTATTGAGTCAGAGGGCCCCGATCATAATGGTTTTTCTATAGTATCATTTGGCGATAGAATAATCGATTAGAGGACACATGTCATGTCCTATTAAAGAGAGATTATTTGAGAGTAAACACAGTGATACGTTTGACAATATATGAGCTCTTAATAAGCTAAAAGTTATTTTTAAATTTGTCACCCACAAAAATAATTGCGAAGGGTGGATGATTGTTACTTAAAATTTGAGGCAGTTAATTTCACTTAATTTTTTTTAATTATATTTGATTTTAAATGTTTACCAGAATTTAAGCCTGAAATGATTAGCTATGGAATTTGGGGGCATTATGAAAATAAGATTCCCTCTTATTGATATTGACATTCAACATGACAATTAGTGGGGGTAGGGCTGCAAGCGAACCAAACGTTCAACGAGCTACTCGTTGTTCGGTTCGATTAAAGCTCGTTTGTGATCGTTTAATTAACTAAGCAAACAAACTTGAACAATATTTTAAATACTCGATTCTTAAATAAACAAACTTGGACACTAATGCGTTCAGCTCATTTATGTTCGCGAACAACATCATTTGAAGTTCGTGAACAAGTTCAATAAGAAGCTCGATAAAAGCTCGATTCATGTTCGATTTTGAACTCGTGAATAAAATCGATAAAAATAATTAATATTTGACTATAAAATTAATAAATATAAATAATCATTGCCTTTGTTACATAGACAATTGCTTTTATTATAAATATGTTTGTTCATAGATATGTTCATGAACGTGTTTGTTTGATAGTTAAAAAAAATTCGTTAAATATGTTCACGAACAAGCTCGATAAGCACTAAACGAACGAACATGAACTGAAAATGAACCGAACATGAACACTCATAAATTTAAATGAACCAAACATGAACACAAACAATAAAGCTCGAATAAACATGAACCAAACTTGAACAAGCTGATATTAAATGAACACAAACATGAACACTCACATACTCGGCTCGGCTCGGTTCGTTTGCAGCCCTAAGTGGGGGGCGAGTCTCTGAATTATTTGTATTTAAAAATGAGAGATTAATTTTTTTGAAGTTGACCCCTTTGATTATGATGCATGATGACTGCGCACATCATAGGGGTGTTTGAATGCTTTCATTTTATTGATTTTGACCTTATCAACTTTGCTAGTTTGTTTGTAGAGGATTGGATATGTTATTAAGACTTGCAATTGCATTTATAAGATAAAATATCATTGTGAGTATCAAGATCAAATATTTGATTGCAAACTTGCTTGGTTAGAAAATTCTGCTCAAATTATTATTGTGGTAATTTAGCACAAGGTGGAAGTCTTGTCAATCCCCGCCTTGAGGACATGCAGAGTCGGACTTCAAAAGTGGAACTTACGAGTTCAATAAGATAGATGTTGCCTGCAGGGCTTTGGGCATTACAACTAACTATGTTATCTTCAATAAAATAGATGCATTTTATATTCTCTCATGGAGTAGAAGCCTTGCTAACAGTCAAGTATAACTTACACAACCAAAGATTATCTATCACTAAAGAGGAAAAGTCATCATCTAACAAGAAGCAAATAAAGAAATCATATATGGGACACTAGAATTGCAAGAAGAATTGTGAATCCAATTGACCATAAATCAAGAGGAATAAAGAGCAAATCAGAACTGTCCACATGAAGTCTTATAGAGGAATCCAAAGAAATTTTCCAAAGGCAAGGAAAACAACAATTGTTAGGTATTAATTGATAAAGCACCACAAGCCATTTCAATATTAGTAGTTGAGGACTATTAAAAAACTGTTATAGTCGTCTCTCTTAACAAAATTGATCACAAAATACCAAGATAAGGATCATCAAGCAACTTAAGCTATCAAAGAAAAGCAAGTGACATATAAATGCACATATAGTGATAACATAATGAAGTATTAAAAGCATTTTTTCTCACACAATTGCTAAAATGAATTCACAAGTAGAGGTAAAGAGCTAATTTTAAAGATAGATTTCTTTTTGGGTAAGTCCATGGCCCTCGACAAGTTGTCCCAATGGCAGGAAAACCTATTTGATTGCCTCCTCACTAAGGCAAGCCTTTGGCCCTCTAGAAAGGTGCATCCTTTATTTGCTGACACTATTATCGCTTTGTTGAAACTAAAATCTTTATATCCACAAGAATCATACATTAACTAATATTCAATTAGCTTATAAAAGAACTTATGTTTGCTACAAAAAACACATGGTTCAACACCCTCACTAAGGGTTGTTTGGTGGCAAGTTTTTAGAGTTCAGGGGTATTTTAAATAATGTAAAGTACATATAGCATATTTGGATAATTACTGCTACCTATGAGTCTACGTATATTTATAGTGCTTAATGATCACAAACATAATTTGATAAACCTGTTTTTAATTAATATATATTTGTTGTAGATGTTTAGTACTAACATTGTAGGTATACATTGGTAGAGAATTCACAATATTAAGTACATTTCTAGGTAGACACAAGATTTGAAGATTATTTGAAGCTAAAGTTAACAAAGCAATTGAAAATTCAATTAAGTTGGGGAAATCAAGTTAGCCAGAATAATTCAAGTAAGGAATCAAAATTTTATTTTTTATTTTTTAATGAATCTTTATTATATGTGTTCAGGTTTAAATATTACAAGATAATGTGCGCACACACGCGTGCAAAAGGTTTAAGTCAAAATAAGTTTTTTTTTTTAATATTAATACAAATCATAACGGATCCCTCTATATGATTATATCGTAATGTACAAATACACAATATGTATTAATCTATATTCCTAAATAAGATAAAAATTTGTATTAATTACAAACTTTCAAAAATTGAACTAATCATGCTATACAATAAAAATCATATTATATGATCAGTGTTATTTGAGCTAAACCACCAAATTAATTACTTTAATTAAATTAATTCAAATTTTAAATGAATGACTGAATGATGCACATCATATTATGTGATAGGTTTTCTTAATTAGTCTAGGTAAACAACTAAAATTAAGAGCCGATGGGATATGATTTAGATTGAACTAATCATACTGTATGATATAAATCTTATTGTACAATCACATAGAACTTTGTTTTTATTATTGAATTAGGATTTTTCTAGAGGCACTAAATATAAAAATATTTTTTCTCATCTTAAAAAGAGCACGAGAAAGGAGAAAGTTAACAAATTAGTGAGAAAGGAGAAAGTTAACAAATTAGTGAGAGAGGTGGGATAGAAATTTTTTTTTTGGAGAGATAAGTTGTTGCTTGATTTAAAAAACCATTGTGAGATTTCTCCTTGCGGCCATGCACTTGATATTGTCTTATTGTTTCTCTAATACCTTATATTGTTCGTATTTGTATTTGTGGCTATTGAGAGAGCTTGTGATTTGTACTTTTAAGGGATCATTGTGATCTCAAAGAGCAAGATTAAAGAAGTTGGCCAGTTGGATATGTTTGTTTTATTGAAAAAGAATGTAGAATAAAATGAATACATTATAAGGTAAATATAATACATTAAAAATATTTTTGAATTCTTTGGTTATGTTATTATTAATGCATAAGTTTATTTTATGTGTTTATTTTAAAGAAAAATTAATTCAATATAAAATTTGGCAACAAGGCGGGCTGGCAGTAGTGATGGCGGTCATGGTGGCAGGCCATAGGTGTCTGTGGTGGTGGGCAACAAATGGGAGTGACTCTAGGCGACAGCTGGCAATAGAGACGGACAACGACATCGATGGCGTACGATGCTTTACACTAGCGGTGTATTTAGCATTTGCCAAAATAAAATGGATTCCAAGTAAAATGAAAATGAATTAGATAGTGAATTCCAAATAAATTAAAATTTTACTCTGCATTTTATTTACTTCCACTTAAACATCAAGATTTTCAGAAGTCATATATTTGATTTACTTTAGAATAGGATTACTTGCAACCACATAGACCCCAAGTGAGATGTTTCAAATTCCACAACAAATTGCTTTTCATTTATTTTTCCTCCCATCAAACAGCTGAAATTTCAAAATCCTACATTTTTTCTTAACTCTGCCACCTAAGTCTCATTAGTCCCTACTACAGTAATTCACCATACGTCAACAAACCCAAATACGATAATTTACCAACAAACTAGACAAATCAGCAAAGATTAAGCGAAAACTACTAAGCCAATCAATCAGCAAACATAAGAAGTTCGAAAAATCCGGACCTTTGTATCCGCACTCAAGGAGGAGCCGCTCAAGCATTTTGAGCGAAAAGGCGTCGTCGTCGACAGCTAGCACCCGCAACTCATTGGGAAACCCGCGGGCAATCATGGAGTCTTCGCATTTATCCATGAGAGAGAGTACGACAGCAGAGAACGAAGAGAAATATAAAAACCCTAGAAAACCGCAGTCTTTCACCGTTTGCTATCTCTCTCTCTATCACTCGCTCACTCCCACTCTCTCGCCCATTCCCTCTCTCTCTATCTCTCATCACGGGGTTTGGTAAGTGAATGCTGTTGCTTCCATTTCTGGAAACAGGGGGCGGGGGGAAGAACCGCGGGTGGGGGGAGAAGAACATTGCTGTGGCGCGCTAACGTTACGGATGCTGCCCCTCGAGCCAGGTGGCTTATTTAACTCATGTAGAAACACGTGGCTTGTGCTCCATTTATGCGGCGGGAGTGAATTTTTCACGTGGAAATAAATGTAGAAGCTATTTAACGGATATTTGTTCCGAAATAAAATGGCTATATTATAGGTTACTTTTTTAAATTTTATATATTTTAATATTTAATTAAAAGTAAATGAAATATAAAATATTATACATTGTTTTTTTTAATATTTAATAAAAAATAAATATGATATAAAGTAAATTTTTTCTGCATGCCTATTAGATTTTAAGAAATTTCAATCACATTATGATATTCTCCTCAATGAATATCATATCTTTATTTTGATAACTTTTTCAATCACATTATTTTCAATGAGTATCCAAAAAGTCTACCTTTATTAGATGTAAAAATGGCATTGTTCTTGTCATGATTGAGGAGCCCATAGACGATAAAAAAATATATAAATTTAACTTTTAGACATCTTATCTAATAAAATTCATTAAGGCATTTTCAAAGCCTACATCACCGTTCACTATAGGAAAGTCAGGTTTTTGGGCAGAAAAATTTGCCGCAAAGAAAGCGAAATTCATCACAAATTTCAGTTTGTACTGGATTCAATTCTGACTATAAAAGTCACATCGCACAAGTATTTGCAACGAAAGGGATTTGTCGCAAATAATTTGTGGCGGGTTTACGATGGAATTATATTGAAGAAAACAACGCCTTCCTTTTTTCAAATGTTGCAAATTCCATCGCAAATTACGATGGATTTGCAGTGGAAATGTCGTCATGAATTTTTGGTGGATATTCCCCCAACAAATCCCTCGTAATTTAAGACGGATTGTTCCATCACAAAATACAATACTCGTTCGTCGTTTCAACGTTCGCAGCAAAATTTTCATGGCAAATCCGCCAGAAACCTATAGCATAAATAAAAAAAAAGCTCATACAATTAGTTATTGAGCTTTTCAACAAAAATTATCCAAGCAGTTTAAAGTCATAGTTAATAATGCTAATATTTCAACAAGTAATGCTAAAATAAACATAAGAAACACGCTTTTGTACAATCACATTCCAATTGCTCAAATAGATAGCCCCATTTCATAGAATTCTACAATTACTACAATGCTGCTAAAGTATCAATAGTTCTTATATATCAAAAGAAATAAAATGCATCAAAAATCCTTTACATACAATATAAGCGAGTTTTCTATTCTCACTCTCTTGCACGGCTAATGCTGTCACATCCCAACTTGATATGACCCGATACCACAATGGTCATACCGTGTTTGATTATGGCATGAGTGACCACAAGATCTGGTTGGAGAAGTACTAAAATAAAACTTCTAATTTATATACTACATAGAGCCATTATTGAATACAATATAAAATGAAATACTACTGAATCTCAACATGATTTTTTATATATCATCCAAAAGATATATAATCTGAAATATATCTATAATAGAGATTTGCAACTAAGAGCATAAAAAAAACTAAAAGACAAGCCTGAAAAAATCAAAACTAACCAAAATATTCCTACAACATAGATCGGAGTCTACTATCCAAATTACTCAGCTCACTCCTTACCCTTCATCAGACCGGAAAATAAAAGCAAAACTAGGGATGAGTTAACATGACTCGGTAGTCTATTATAGCATAAAATAGAAATCAATAATTAAAACCAAAAGAATTGAGAACATTATGTTGAATCATATACTAAAATTAAATAAATATTGAAATGAACTGAATTATAAGCAAACACTTCATAACAGAATCCTATCTCGGTAGCCCATTGGCTCCGACATAACAACACTTCCATAACAAAATCCCACCTGCATAATAGAATCATACCTCGGTCGTCCATTGGAGCCAGCATAATAGAATCTCACATCAACCGCCCACTAGTGTTGGCATAACATAATTCTACCTCGGTCGCCCACTAGAGCCGACATCACATTACAACACTTCATAATAAATTTTTCAATGCATTTTATTAATTAAAGCATAATTTGGATGAGCAAAAATTTATAATTTTCAATTATAACCAAATTACTAGAGTTTGTGTAAAACATCATTCTAAAGCTTTAATTGAATGAAGTAATATTTTTAGATATCAGAAAAAAAAAAATTTAGTTGGTAAAAATTGATATTTTTATAAAATCAATTAGTGAAAATTTTCTAAAATATACTCAAAATATGTGTTATCATAATTTTTATAGCATATAAAGAGTTACGTGGTAAAAGTTTTTAAAAAATAAAGTTATCCTCATTTTTCTATAACGGAAATATAAATTTGATAAAAAAAATATATATATAAAATTATTGAATTCTAAAATAGGAAAAATGTAACATACCTTGAGACAAGCAAATTTTTCAACTGGGCTGACAAACGAAAACCACTCTACGGCTATTAAAACTTAGCTTCTTTCCTTCTCTCTGCTCACTTTCTTCTCAATTTTCCAAAAATCTTCTGTTAAACATATGAAATGAATAAAAGGAATTTAATTGACTTTAAACTTAAGTGACTTTAGATACTTTATAAAATAATAATAAAATAATAATATCCTAATAATTTTCAGTATAGAATTCATAGAAATTATTTTAAGAAGACCAAAAAAAAAAAAAAAGAAATCATAAAATAGCTCATTTTTTTAAAAAAAAATAATGGTGAAATCGGTTTGCAAAATAAATATCTAACGGTCTCAAAATCCTCACTTGTATCAACTAATCCCAATTTCTTAAGGAAATTTCTAGTGCCCAAAACATTATAAAAAATTTAGGAATATTAAAACATAATAATAAAGATTTTATGGAGAAGAAGATTTATGATTTGGGCTTATAATGACTCCTTCATAAATTCTTAGTTGTTGTAGGAAAAAAATGTAGTTTTTAAAATTTTGAGTGATAACAGATGCAAGCACAGATTGATTTCCACCAATATGCTCTCTTATTCTCTGAAGCTCATTTAATATCTAAATGTTAATGTCTTCTTATAAATTTTGGATATTTTCTTGCTCTGTTGTCAAATTATCCACTTGTTGGCTATACAAACTCTCCTGGTAGTTTGTAGAGAAGTTGATGGAAGAAGATGATTGTCTCTCATATGCATAGGCCTATGAGCCTAATCTGCAAGCTCATCCCTTCTGCATTCCACATACTACATGCGACTACGTGTGATAGTCAAAATCCAGAGGATCCCTCTCCAACTATAACTGGCTCTCTCAAAGTCATGCATACTCATCCTATAAAATATAACATAAGATTAATAATCGTATAATCGTAACTTATAATATTTCTATAAGTATTGTAATCTTATATACTTATATATGCCCTCCTCGCTCGCTCATCCGCTAATTACTGGTCCTCTACCACTTACAAGTGTGACCATATAACTTAACTACTATGAGTTCTTTATCAAGTATCTCATTCTATAATATACTTAGATTATCTTTCATAATTAGAAACATAAAAAAAAATCTTTTAAAATTCTTACCAAATCATTTGTGCTAAATGTGTGGAACTCAGCCCCCAGTATAGAGGGAGTTACCCATGCCCTCGACATCAGAAGCTCAAATCTGTCTGTTCTACCCCCTCATCACTATATAATATGGGCTGCCCCAATTACTACTGAGCTCAGTCCATACACCCTTTGTAATCCAAAGCGGTCAATTACCTATCCTCCTAATGCATGTGAATATGTCTCGCCGGTGAGTTACTATGCATTTCTCAAAATTTATTCTGATTCAAGTATTATGCTTAAAAAGCCAATACAAATTTCCTTGTATATACCAAATTAGAATAAAAACTATTCTTTATTAGATTATTAAAATATGGATAGATGTTAATAATATTACAACTTACTAATCTCAAACTCCTTAAACCATATGTCACGCACTTCCTTTGGGATTTTCTTTTAAGAGACATATGGAGCATCAAACATACTCCATATGATATCTCGTATCATGTACATGGACTACTTTGACGAGCAAAATTTGCACAAAATATTTAGTTATAAAATATTATTTCTTAAATATATATGTAATATAAACTTTATATATTTATGTATGTGTCACCCTCAGGATGAATCAATATGAGCCCTTTTTTAGTTGATGTTGTGGCAGTTTATATGGATGGTCCAATTGCAGTCGGAGTGGAAGGTCCAGCTACAAAGGGCTAAGGGGGTGGTAGGTAATAAAATGGTAGAATGTATGGCGTATAACAATAAGTAGTAAGGACTCCTTGAAAAGATTGTTTGGGGGGGGGGGGTTGGCGGTAGTCCAAGTAAAAGGGATCTGTCTATGTAGGGTTTTGTGACAAAAAGTGGAGGTTTATAGAGTGAAACTGAGGACTCCTTATAAGATTTGTAGGCAAAGGACGACTAGGCTGGGTATGACTGGCAGATTGTAAAGAGGAGGTCTCCTCAGTACCCTACCATTACTGGATAATCCACCAATATTCTTCTTGAACTTGAAAATATTTGTGATTGACTGTCTGGGGGCTCATTTCTGATAAATTATTCTAATAGTATAATATGTATCTATTAACACAACCTAACAATCTATTTTTATAGGTGTCAAACCAATTTTCTTATATGGTATAAATTGTTGGAATTATATTATCTACCAAGTTGGTCTCCTTAAATAGACTAATAAATTAATTAAGTCATTCTTTGAGTATATTGTATTTTATCTTTATGTTTAACATCTTCATAGTAATAGATAGCTTTAAGTGAGTAGTATACCCATTCCAAATTCGTTGTTGGGTAGCGTATAACAAATCATAGAAGTTTTATGCCTCATTATTCAAGGACTTTTCTATATATTATTGAAATTATGGCCCAGTTGCATCATAAACTAAGTCCTTAAATGTCTTAATTCTATCTTTCTCAACTATGTTGGAACATGTAGATAGGCTACATTGAGATAGGCCACACT